GAAAGGGAGTCTCTCTCTGTCACCCAGGATGGAGTACAGTGGCATGATCTTGGCTCACTGTGGCCTCCACCTCCCAGGTTCAAGTGATTTTTGTGTCTCAGCCTCCTGAGTAGCTGGGACTACAGGTGTGAGCCACCGTGCCCAGCTAATTTTTTTTATTTTTAGTAGAGATGGTATTTTACTATGTTGGCCAGGCTGGCCTTGAACTTCTGTCCTCAAGTGATCTGCCTGCTTCACCTCTCAAAGTGTTGGGATTACAGGCATGAGCCACTGCCCTGGCCTGTATACTCTTTTTATTGTTTTCCTAAGAGGCAACTATTGCATCAGGCTTTCTCACCCTCACTATTCTTTCCTCTCAGTCCATGACCAGCTTCATGTACCCCCTACTCCGCACACACCAAACTAGACTAGTCTACCTCTGATGATGATACCTAATCAGCATAGGTCTTTTACTCCTCTACTGGTCGACAATTGCTCTGACAATGCTCCTACTTACTATCTCAGTCCTTCTTTAGTTCACCAGACACCATCATTGGATAGTGTCTTTGTTTCATCACATGGCTAGCTCGCTAGTAGATTCATAAGCTCGGCTTTGATATCTGGGAAGTGAATGCTTTCATCTGAGAGCAAAAAACTCTATTTTGCCATTTGATAATGGCCTCTCAGATGGCTATAATGTCTTTTTTTTTCGAGATGGAGTCTTGCTCTGTCACCCAGGCTGGAGTGCAGTGGCTCGATCTTCACTCACTGCAACCTCCACCTCCTGGGTTCAAGCAATTCTCCTGCCTCAGCCTCCCTAGTAGCTGGGATTACAGGTGCCTGCCACCACATCCAGCTAATTTTTGTATTTTTAGTAGAGATGAGGGTTCACCATGTTGGCCAGGCTGGTCTCAAACTCCTGACCTTGTAATCCACCCACCTTGCCTCCCAAAGTGCTGGGATTACAGGCGTGAGCCACTACCCCTGGCCTATAATGTTTTTCTTCACAGGCGCCATCATGTCACACTATAGAATCCAAACTCCTGGGCTCAAGCGATCCTTCTACCTCAGCCTCTGGAGTAGTCGGGACTACAGGCATATGCCATTGCACCTGGTTTCCAAACTTTTTTTTTTTTTGAAACAGGTTTTCACTTTGTCTCCCAGACTGGAATGCGGTGGCATGGTCACGGCTCACTGCAGGATCGACCAGCTGGGCTCAGGTGATCCTCCCACCTCAGCTTCCCCATTGCTGGGATAACAGGAGTGTGCCACCTGGCTCAGCTAATTTTGAAACTTTTTTGTAGGTAAGGGGTTTTGCCGTGTTGCCCAGGCTGGTCTCAAATACCTGGGCTCAAATGATCCAACCACCTCAGCCTCCCAAAGTGCTAGGACTACAGGCATTAGCTGTCATACCCAGCCAAAAAAATATTCTTCCAAATATATGTATATTTGTCCATAAAGTATAGACATATGCTACCATCATTAGCTTAACTCAATCAAAATACACATTTAGAGTGAAGTTCAATTCTTTTTTTTTTTTTGAGACGGAGTTTCGCTCTTGTTACCCAGGCTGGAGTGCAATGGCGCGATCTCGGCTCACCGCAACCTCCGCCTCCTGGGTTCAGGCAATTCTCCTGCCTCAGCCTCCTGAGGAGCTGGGATTACAGGCACGCGCCACTATGCCCAGCTAAGTTTTTGCATTTTTAGTAGAGACGGGGTTTCACCATGTTGACCAGGTTGGTCTCGATCTCTTGACCTCGTGATCCACCCGCCTCAGCCTCCCAAAGTGCTGGGATTACAGGCTTGAGCCACCGCGCCCAGCCCATGTTCAATTCTTAATGACAGTGGATGTAAATTTACATTTCAAGTAGCCTTTTTTTTTTTCTTGTCAAAATTTGGTTGAATATATTAGATTGGTATTTCACATTCGAAAATGGCTGTCAAAGATTTGATAGAAGAGTTAGTTCCATGATTTCCTTCTTGTTCTCCTGTGACTTCTTTGCAAAGGACTCTTAGAATCATTTGTCTGTTTTATGGGGGTTAGTTAGATAATATAATCAGTAAGTCCACTTAGTTGAATCCAGAAACTGGAATAAGTAACTGCAGTAAGTCATAAGTTGTCAGGGGCTGATTGGGTGGGACCACAACGGCCAACTCTTAGGAATGGATAACTCCCACTTTTCTCTGAGGACATCTCCTATGCTGCTCTAGGCAAAGGCATCATTCCACGGACTGAGGTGGAGCCATTCACTTGGTATAAAAAAATACTGGCTGGGCGCAGTGGCTCATGCCTGTAATCTCAGCACTTTGGGAGGCCAAGGCAGGTGGATCATGAGGTCTGGAGTTCAGTATCAACCTAGCCAAGGTGGTGAAACCCTGTCTCTACTAAAAACACAAAAAAATTAGCTGGGCGTGGTGGCAGGTGCCTGTAATCTCAGCTACTCAGGAGGCTGAGGCAGGGAACTGCTTGAACCCGGGAGGCGGAGGTTGCAGTGGGCCGAGATCACGTCACTGTACTCCCCAGCCTGGGCAACAGAGTGAGACTCTGTCTCAAAAAACAAAACAAAACAAAAACAAACAAACAAAAACCCCCAAAAAACTAGTTGACCTTAATGCCTTTCTTTTTAGATTAAAATTAAACTGAAATATATTTCCTAATATTTTTTTCCTGCATCCCAAATAGATTACCTTGCACTATTCCTGGAGTACACAAACCTCTGGGATACATGGGAGAAATTACTAGTCCAGAGAAGTTTCTCACATAGGCAAGGATGTTTCCATTTTAAAAAACCTGCTCATTTCAGTTGCTCAGCCATTTTATAGAAAGTGAAATGACTTTGAAATGAATTGTCTTTATAGAGATCCATAATTTGCAAGCAAAATCCCCACTCGATGACATGTTCTAAGCAACAGCTGTGAGAATTTCAAACGTGCACTATGCTTTTAACAGTTCAACTGTTGCCAAGGGAAATTGAATTGGCTTCAAAATCTTCCTTGGTTTTAATTCTGCATTTACCCTCAATCAAAGATTTAAGAAACAGGTCCTTGGCTGGGACACTGAACTTTCATGAAGACTGTACATGATATTGAGATATGGAAATTTAAGGTTCTCGAGGGTAGGAAGTAGACTGCTGGTAATTCTATAGTTCATACTTAGTGGTAACGAACTTTATCACGGCAAAAGTGGGCACTAGCCGTACAGTGGCCAATCATCTGGAGTCAGTAGGGGGAGCCTGCTTCCATCTGAGAGTCATCTTTTCGTTTTCCATTTCAGTTCAAAGCAGGAATATTTTTATCTTTCATGGCACAAAATTATTTTTCCACTCAAGAGCCATTTCTGGGAGTGTGCAAAGAAAATTTCAAAACTCTAGTGTTTAACAACAGAAACAGGAGAATTGCAAATCCATTTTTGTTGTCACTTGTACATATGGTACATATAGTTTTATTTATATATAGCTCTATTCCCTGACTGTATAGAAAAGATGATATAATGCTGAGGGAAAAAACTAGGCTACAGATTGACACACGTTATTAATATAAAAAGAAAAAATACTGAAAGGAAGTATGCAAATGCTGTAAGTGGCTATCTCTGAAAAAATATGAGTAAGTTAATTTTTTTGCCCTCCTCCCCCATTTCCTAAGTTTTGAACAACTGGTACTCTGATGTTTGTAGTTAGCATTAATAATTTCTTCCCTTTTTCTCCTCAAAAAATGTATGTAGGGTGCATTCAAACACATAAATCCAAGCATATTATCTGAAATGTTCCATTTGGCCGTTTGCATTAACCAACGATGCAAACGCATCTCCAAAGAGCTCATTACTTATTCTAGACAGTTAAGTCGGCTTCTCCCTTAACTCTTTCGGGTGCAACTTGCCAATTAAAATCTCGAAACTCCTCCAGTTTGGAGCTGGGTCTTTCCGAGCTCTGAGCAGCCGGCTGGCCGGTGGGTTATTCTGAATGAACAGACTGAAACCCGTGGCGACAGCGTTCCCACCTGCATTAACTAAGTGAGCGCTGGCCTCAACCGAGGCGTGGAGGCTCCACGGGTCTGATATTCAAAAGGAGACGAGGGAGAATGGGAAGCGTTCCTGAACCCCGGGCCAGGCCTCCCACCAGGTTCAGCGAAGAGCGACTGCTGGGAGTTTCAAGGGGACCCATTTACGCAAGCGGCTGCGCACAGGCGCGGGAGGGGGAATCTAATTCCTGCCTACGCATCGGCGGTTCCCGTCCTGAGTGGGACTCCCCAAGGCCAGAAGGGCCACACCAGCTGCAGGGCAGGGTCAAGACTCGAGGGCTCCCCGCCTCTTGGCCGACCCTTGCCCTGGGAATCCTCTGGTCGAAGACGACCGCCGTCCAAAGGCTCCGCACAGCACGGAAGGCCAGCCCGCTGATCTGCTAGCCGCACACCTCCCGGGATTAAGGCGCTCCTCTCAGGCCCAGCGGCTGCCCTCTTGAGCCTGCCCCACCGCCGGGCGGAAGCGGCGGCTGCACCACCCGAGGTCGCGGCTGCATCCGGGTCCTTCACGCTTCGGCCCAATCCTCTTCCCACCCTCCCGTTTCTCCGCCCTCCTACCGCCAATCCCTGATCGGGTCTCAGCCGAGCATGCTGGCGGGGGAGTGAAGGCGGACGAGGGCCAATGAGGCCTCGCTTCCCGTTTGAAGTCTCCAGTGGGCGGGCGCCGGAGGCGGGCACGGCTGCCCAGAAGGTTTGGTTGCGCGTGTGCCATGGACTCAGCCGCCCGGTGATATTGACAATAGGAGAGAGAAAGGGGCATTGACTGGGACCCACCGCGGGTAGCGAACTGTGGCTCTGGCAGCGGCGGCTCCAGCTCCTGCAGCTCCTCCTCCTTCTCTGGCTCCCTTCTCTTGCTGCCGCTGCAGATCCAGTCTTCCTCCCTCCCTTCCCCCCCTCCCCACGTCGCCGCCGCCGCCGCCGCCGCCGCAGCCGCCGCCGCCGCCGCCGCCACCGCCGCCGCCGGGTCCCGGGCAACGAGCTGAGGCGCCGCCCGCCAGGAATGTGAGCGAGGAGCCACCGGCGGAGCCGCAACGGGGTCGGTGCCGATTTGATGGGACGGGCCCGCGGGGGAGGATCGTGAGGCCGCCGCCGCCGCCGGAGCGCTGAGGTTCGGGTCCGGCCGTGAGGCCTAGAGGCTCCGCCGCCGCGGAACCGGAGGGACGCCGTACCGGACAGCCGTCGCCCCGGGCTCCCCGCAGCTCCCCGGACCTCCCCCTGCACGTCCCAGTCCCGCCACCCGCCCCCGCTGCGGCCCCCTTGCCCGTCTCCGGCCCCTCCAAGCCACAGATCATCTTCGGATTCTTCCTCAGAAGCTTCAAGGTAACTTCGTCCCTCCAGCACCGCGGCTCGCCCGCTTCCCTGCTTCCTCCCGATCTTCCTGGGGAACCCATGGGGCAACGGCCTTGGGAAGGCCTGGCCGGGCAGGCGAGGGGTGCGGTGGGGTGGGGTGCGGGTGCAGGAGCGGGAGCGCTCGTCCCACTTGTCTGATTTACCTGCAGATGCTTCTGATGATACCTCTCATTCACTCTGCACCCTCCCCCCTTTTTCTCCACCTTCTGGGTTTGGAGGCATTTTCTTGCTCCCCTTTATCCACTGGTGGGGGCGGGGAATAAAGGGGGGTTTGGTGTGAGGAGGATTCTCTAGCAGCTTATCTTTTCCAAGGCTTGGGGTGTGGGTTAGGAGCAAAGGGAGTATGTAAGCATCCCCACAGACAAACCCCTTTCCTGTCTTTCTTTACATACTGCCCCTTCCCCCTTTGGATTATCCTGAGCCAGGGAAATGCCCCGTGCCGGCTGATTAGAGGATGATAAAGCTTCGGGCGCCCTGGCCCAGGGCGAAACCTGTTTCCCCGGGCTTTGCATGGACCCGCTGTTACCTTACGTTCAGTTTTGCAATGCTTCAGGGTTGGGATCCTTGACGTTTATTCTGCGCCTTGGGCATAAGGGATAAATGATTTTTTAAAAAGCTACCTATAGATCGTCGTAGAGATGAGAGATGAGGAATAAAGAAGAGACAAAAAGTGATGGAGGAAGAGGATTTACTGAAATTTTGTAGTGTTAGAGTTAGAATGAAGTCTAAATAATTCACACACCAGATTGGAAAATCGGCCCCTAAATTTACAACGTACAAATACGATGTGGGGCTTTTGGCTGATGCAGTCATTTTGATATTTTAAAGTGATCTTAACATCTTCTGTAGTCATTCATAGTTTGCAATTCTGTTTTGAATTCATCACATTATGTTACAGCTAAATTAGGTAGATTTTTTAAAAAAAATCTTTTTTTTTAATTTAAGAAAACCAAAGAAGACTTCAAAATTCCAAACGTCAACATCATATGTGTGTGTGTTTAAATGTTTTTGTTATTTGAAATTGTGAAAATCCACGTAATCCAGTAACTTTTTATTCTTACGTGTTCAGGAAGAAATTCCCTTACTCCTTTATTTAGAAGTTAAAAACCACTTGTCTAATGTATTGGAATGACAGGTGAGTAATTGCATTTCAGCATTTCCCCCATATGCATTATTTCTATCCGAGTCTGCCATTAATCTTGAATGGAGCCTCAGTCCCATGGAAATGATGGCATCTGTTTAAATTGGTGAATGAAATTAACTGTTTTAACGCTTGTTACTTTTAGGAAATAGCTTTCATTTTAGTAACTGGAGAGGGTTAAAAAATGCAAAAGTACTGTTCAGTTCCGTAAGTTTAATGGAATGAAAATTTGTATTTGATGATGAGCTTCAAGGTCTAACCCTCGAGGGAACTCAACCTGGTTGTTTCAGTAGGCTGTGAATTTATGTTTTCAGTTCAACTTTTGTGCTTGATTTCCTCATAGTTTTATTAAGTTTTAATAACTTAAGGTGGCTTCCTTCAAAAAGAAGACTTCTTTGAAATATTTTAATTATGCCTTTTATGTGTTTTGTTTAAAGTAATCTAGCCTGTCCTCATTTGCAGTGTGGTGCAGTTTATCATAGCTAACACAGCACATCCCATTAAAAGTTATGCCTAGATAGTTTCAGTAGTAGTAAATTTCACCTTGCTGTGATACGTTGGTATAGATTCTTGAAGTACACTAAAGCTTTCAACTCCAGAACCCATTCATAATATTAAATATCTTGGGAAAATGTATTGATGGAAGTTTTCCAGCTGCAGAATAGCTCCAAAAATTACTTGAAGATGTGAAGAGCTTTGTAGTTAGAAAACAGGCAGGCAGCATGGAGTTTTTAAAGCCTAGATGAATATCTTTAATGCTTAATATGGAGTGGCACGATACATTAGAGTTCTGATATTGTTTCCATCATACATACATTATTTTCACCAATTTTCTTTTCTTTTCTTTTTTTGAGACGGAGTCTTGCTTTGTTGCCCAGGCTGGAGTGCAATGGTAGGATCTCAGGTCACTGCAACCTCCGCCTCCTGGGTTCAAGCAATTCTTCTGCCTCAGCCTCCTGAGGAGCTGTGATTACAGGCATCTGCCATCATGCCTGGGTTATTTTTGTATTTTTGTAGAGATGATGTTTCACCGTGTTGGCCAGATTGGTCTTGAACTCCGGACCTCAAGTGATCCACCCACCTCAGCCTCCCAAAGTGCTGGGATTACAAGCATGAGCCACTGCACCTGGCCAACATAAGACTTTTCTTAATTGATTTTATTTTCTTTAGCACTTATTCCCATTTTCATGTATATTGTGTGTGGGAACTTTAGAATTTGTGTAACTCACATGTATGCTTCTACCTTGAGAATGTATGGGTTTATAATACTTCTTTCTCTTCAGTAGGGATATGTCCTCAGCACCAACTACTCCTCCATCAGTGGATAAAGTAGACGGATTTTCTCGGAAGTCCGTCAGAAAAGCCAGACAGAAGAGGTCGCAAAGTTCCTCACAGTTTAGGTCTCAAGGCAAGCCTATTGAGTTAACACCTCTGCCGCTGCTAAAAGGTAAGGCTCATGACCAGGTGATGCATTCTTTTTCAATAGATCTTTCTACATCTACATATAATTTCCTTTTTGTAGAGTTTTATATGTGTTGCAGATTGAAGGATGGTGGATACTTCACACACACTGAAGTTACTAATGTGTGACCAGATATACTCACTCTTCTTTTTAAAGGGCTCAATTTAGTCCCTCTTTGGGCAAGTAAAAAGAAACTTGTTGTCAGGAGAATAGCTCACATTGATGAGTAGGTAAACTAAGTACTAGAGCAACTTTTAAGATGTCTGGGTTTGTGTTTTTGATTTTTTCTTCTATTGACATTTAGGTGGATACATTATATGCAATGACAACTACAGATTATGCTGTTTTAGGAATTAGACCCTGGTAGAGATGGTACCATTCATTAATTTACGTATAGAAAATGGTATTTGGAAGAATTCTTTTTAAAAATCAAGAAAAAAATTGTCAATTTGTAATTGGTTACATACATTCTTGTTTTCACATAGTATGAGTAGAAAAAGTATATGATGATCATACTTGTTTAGTATGATCTTTGCTTTGGAATTTGTTAATTTGTTTATTTTTATTGTTTGAGACAGAGTCTCCATTTGTTGTGCAGGCTAGAGTGCAGTGACATGATGTTGGTTCATGCAGCCTCTACCTCCTAGGTTCAAGTGATTGTCCTGCCTTGGCCTCCCAAGTAGCTGGAGCTACAGGTACCCACCACCATGCCCAGCTAATTTTTTTTATTTTTAGTAGAGACGGAGTTTCACCATGTTGGCCAGGCTAGTCTTGAACTCCTGACCTCAAGTGATCCCACCTTGACCTCACAAAGTGCTGGGATTACAGGTGTGAGCCACTGCACCTGGCCTGAAAATTTGTTAACAAGTTTTTTGTTTTGTTTGTTTTTCTTTTGACACAGTCTCATGCTGTCATTCCAGCTAGAGTTCAGTGGGGACAGAGTGAAAGTTCAGGTCAAGGCTCACTGTGGCCTCAACATCCTAGGCTCAAGTGATCCTCCCTTTCCCGAGTAGCTGGGATCAGCTTCCCGAGTAGCTGGGACTACAGGAGTGCCACCATGCCTGGCTAATTTTTCTGTCTTTTTGTAGAGATGGGGTTTGACCATATTGCACAGGCTGGTCTCGAATTGACTTGGCCTCCCAGTGCCAGGATTGTAGGCATGAGCCACCATGCCTGGCCTAATGGATTTTTAATATGAAGAGTTTTTTCTAAATTAGGTGTTTCAACTTTTGTTTGGGTATGTGGTTACTTTTTTTCCGCTTTTAATTTTCTTTTCCTTTTTTTTTTTTTTTTTTTTTTTTGAGACGGAGTTTCGCTCTTGTTACCCAGGCTGGAGTGCAATGGCGCGATCTCGGCTCACCGCAACCTCCGCCTCCTGGGTTCAGGCAATTCTCCTGCCTCAGCCTCCTGAGTAGCTGGGATTATAGGCACGCGCCACCATGCCCAGCTAATTTTTTGTATTTTTAGTAGAGACGGGGTTTCACCATGTTGACCAGGTTGGTCTCGATCTCTCGACCTTGTGATCCACCCGCCTCGGCCTCCCAAAGTGCTGGGATTACAGGCTTGAGCCACTGCGCCCGGCCTCCCCTTTTAATTTTCATGTTTGCTTCATGTTTATGAACATGACAGGCGTAAGCTACCTTTCCTGGGCATTTTTAGTAATTAATCTGAAGTAGATATGCAATAGGTGTTGTTTGAAAAATATCAGAGCATAACTTTTATAATGTGAAAACCATCAGAGTTTACCTTTGAAGGTGGATGTTTCTGTGCTGAATACTGAAGAGTGGGAGAAAGGGGATATGAACAACAGTGAGCTTTAGTGGCTTGGAGGAAACCAGGCAACCTGATTTGCTAGTTCATTATTGCAGACTTATTTCTGTAACATTTTGTGAAATCAGAAGGTATGATAAGAGAAACTGGAATGTAACTGGAAAAGAGCCTCAAAATTTAGCTTAGGAGATTTCAAGCTTCTATTTTTTTTCCGTATGAACACTTTAAAGGGCGAGAGATTCATAAATAAGATTCTAATGTTTATACAAAATTAGTGGAAACTGATTACGGTAAAGATGATGTATCTACTAGTCAGTAAAGGTGAGCTCCTATGAGCTTTGGGGAGAAAATTTTGATTAGAGATTTTGCTGGTGAAAATAAAAATAGTAATTATGAGTCTTTGGAAAGAAGATGAAGGAAACACTCTAGATTAAACTGTGTTTGAAATACAAAGTTGGGAGACATTGATTTTTAGTAATTTATTTATTTATTTATTCTTTTGAGATGGAGTCTCACTCTGTCGCCCAGGCTGGAGTACAGTGGTACAGTCTTGGCTCACTGCAATGTCTGCCTCCCAGGTTCAAGCAGTTTTCTGCCTCAGCTTCCTGAGTATCTGGGATTACAGGCATGTGCTACCACGCCCAGCTGACTTTTTTTTGTATGTGTTTTTAGTAGAGACAGAGATTCACATGTTGGCCAGGCAAGTCTTGAACTCCTGACCATGTGATCTACTCGCCTTGGCCTCCCACAGTGCTGGGATTACAGGCATAAGCCACTGTGCCTGGGCATTTTTAGTAATTTATTTAATCTGAAGTAGATATGTAATAGCTGTTAGTGCCTGTGTCTGATGAAGGACTTCATTCTAAGGAAGCCAGTTAAACATTTTTTTAGAATTAGAAGGAATTAAAAAACTTTATTGTTACACTAATTTAGACTTAACTGACCACTCATAGGGTGTTGGTTTTGTGGGTGGTGAAGTAAGCATGCATGAGAAGAATTTGGACATATGCTTTAAGAATTTGGACACCGGCCGGGCACGGTGGTTCATGCCTGTAATCCCAGTACTTTGGGAGGCTGAGGTGGGCAGATCACAAGGTCAGGAGATTGAGACCATCCTGGCCAACATGATGAAACCCCATCTCTACGAAAAATTCAAAAATTAGCTGGGTGTGTTGGAGGATGCCTGTAATTCCAGCTATTTGGGAGACTGAGGCAGGAGAGTTGCTTGAACCAGGAGGCAGAGGTTCCGGTGAGCCGAGATTGCGCCACTGCACTCTAGCCTGGTGACAGAGCAAGACTCTGTCTCAAAAAAAAAAAAAAAAAAAAAAAAAAAAGAATTTGGACACATGCTTTAATGTCTTTTTTCTTATTTTAAAAAATATACATGCCGGGCATGGTGGCTCAAGCCTGTAATCCCAGCACTTTGGGAGGCGGAGGCGGGTGGATCACGAGGTCAAGAGATCGAGACCATCCTGGTTAACAAGGTGAAACCCCGTCTCTACTAAAAATACAAAACATTAGCTGGGCATGGTGGCGCGTGCCTGTAATCCCAGCTACTCAGGAGGTTGAGGCAGGAGAATTGCCTGAACCCAGGAGGCGGAGGTTGTGGTGAGCCGAGATCGCGCCATTGCACTCCAGCCTGGGTAACAAGAGCGAAACTCTGTCTCAAAAAAGAAAAAAAACAAAAACATATATATATACACTTAACATTTATCATTTTAACCACATGTAAATGTGCACTTCAGTGGCATTAAGTACCTTGACATTGTTGTGCAGCCTTCACTACTGTCCATCTCCAGAACCTTCTCATCTTCCCCAACTGAAGCTCTGTACTTGTTAAACACTTAACTCACTGTTTCCCTCCCGCAGGCCCTGGTAACCACCATTCTGTTTTTTGTCTCTATGAATTTGACTATTATAGGTACCTTCGATAAGTGATGCCATGCAATATCTGTCCTTTTGTGACTGGCTTATTTCACTTAGTGTAGTGTTTTCAGTGTTCATCTCTGTTGTAGCATGTGTCAGAATTTCATTCTGTTTTGAAGGCTGCATAATATCACTGTATATACATTCCACATATTTATGAATTCATTGATGGACAGTTGGGTTGCTTCCACCTTTAGGCTATTGTGAATAATGCTGCCATGACCATGATGTATAGATACCTATTTAAATTCTGGCTTTTCTTAAATCACTGGATCATATGTTGAATTTTTTCAGGAATTGCCATACATATTGCCACAGCAACTGTCCCATTTTTTTATTCCCAGTAGCAATGCATACGGGTTCCAATTTTCTATATCCTCACCAACATTCATTTTCTGCTTTTTAGTTTTTTGATTATAGTCATTGTAATGAGCATGAAGTGGTATTTCATTGTGATTTTGATTTGCATTTCCCTAATGATTAATGATGTGGAGCATCTTTTCATGTGCTTATTGGCCATTTTTGTATGCTTTGCTCACTTTTAAAAGTGAAGTCTGCTAGTATTGCAAGTTTTCTAAGAACTCTGCTCTCCAAGAATATGATTTTATGGACTTGTATATTTTGCTAACATGAGAGGATTGTAGAGTAACAGGATTATATGCTGACAAACCTAATTCCAGATTAACTAATAGTGATGGTTATGTAGTAAGCACATTCTGGGTAAATATTCTGGAGATTTCCATATCTGTCTATACAATAACATAAGGAAGTAGATCAGAAATAGACTTCAGTAATGGATATTTGCTCTTGATTTTTTAGGAAGTAATTTATGGAATATAAAGAAAATATAGGAGGAATTTCTTTTTTTTTTTTTTTTTTTTTTTTTTTTGAGATGGAGTTTCACTTTTGTTACCCAGGCTAGAGTGTAATGGTGCTATCTTGGCTTACCACAACCTCCGCCTCCTAGGTTCAAGTGATACTCCTGCCTCAGCCTCCAGAAAAGCTGGGATTACAGGTGTGCACCACCACACCTGGCTAATTTTGTATTTTTTTAGTGGAGATGGGGTTTCTCTATGTTGGTCAGGCTAGTCTCTAACTCTTGACCTCAGGTGATCCACCTGCCTTGGCCTTCCAAAGTGCTGGAATGACAAGCATGAGCCACCATGTCCTGCCGATAAATTTCTTTTCTAGGAGATATATATATATATAAAATGTATATATATATTTTTGGTCATTGCCTTAGGGGAAACCAGGATAAACATGATATACATGCTAAAAGATAGTTATTG